CCCATTTCAGCGAGGAGGTGGGAGGGAAGTCTGCCGAAGGCATGGGAGGAAGAGTGCCCAGCGCGGGCTGCCCTGCGCCCTGTCTCCGAGCCCAGGTGTTGGAGGACACAAGGTGGGCCAAGCAGACAACATGCAAAAAGAATGAAGACACTAAGAAACCCCACCCAGAGCCCTGAGGCCTCTGAGACTGGGAACCAGCCATCCTGGCCCCATTCTCCTGTCAATCAGAAATAGTCACACCCCTAATCAAAATCAGTTCTTCCTTCTATTACTTTTGACTGGAAATGGCCTCATCAACAAACCTGGTTAGAAGTGACCACTAGAAAAGAGGCAGATGACTCAGTGGACTTCTACAGAAAAAAACCGGAAGGAATTGGGGGTAGGAAGGTCAGAGGTATGTGTCTACGTCACAGTGTCTTGGCTTGGCTCCTGGCCCCAGCTTCCTGCTGGCATAGACCCTGGGAGCCCACGGGGCTGGCTCCCCTACTTGGGTTCCTGACACTTACATGGCAGATCCCCAGCAGCAGTCCGGCCCAGCCCCAGCTGTTTTACAGGCATCTGGAGAATGAATCAGTAGCAGAGTGCTCTGGTTTTTGGAATAATTAAAAAGTAGAAAATCTAGGAAGGCCAAAGAGAGAGCTTCAAGCAGAATCAGACTCTGTGGTTGGAAAAGGCTGTGGGTACCCTGGCTCGCCTCACCTGAACCCCTGAGCAGCACATCCGAGTGGCTGGAGGCAGCCTGGAGGGAGCTCAGACCTGCAGCTGCCCGCCACCTACTGAAGGGCCTTTCTCAGCCACTTGTAGCCAAGACTGGTTCCAGGGCAACGCTGGAGGGACCCTGAGTGCTGACCTTGTCCCAGGGCACTCCTGTCTCTCCCTAGAGCCCTTCTGTGGCCTCATTGTCCTACTTGGGAGATGCAACACACCCACTCACCAAACTTCTCTGCAAACTGACCCAAGGAAGAACAGAGCTGGGCAGCAGCTCGCTTGCTGCAAGCATAGTCCCTACTGTCCAGCACAGAGCAACAGCCCCATGTACCTACCCATCACCTGGCTCCTTCCCCTGCCCACCCCCAGCAGCCCCTCACATCCCACCCCATGACACAGCCAGCACAATGTCCCTTGTCCCTGCTCTTTCTACCCCAGCAGCCTGCAGCTCTCATCCCCATCTTGTAGACTCACAAATTTCTCTTCACCTCTCGTGGTCCAGGCCAGCTCTCCCTGGTCAAGGCTCCTTTCCTCAACCCCCTCACTCCCTGTAGAACAATCCAGCGCTCAAGAGTCCTCCCATAAATTCACCCCAAATACTGCGCACCATGTGGGCATTTTCCTAAGGCCTGAGCCTGTGGGTTTTCTCCATCTCCGGGCCCAGCCTGCTGCCACTGAGTGGCAAATGTGAGCTGGATGGACGTGTGGCTGGAAGGGTGTTCTCACCTCCTGGGTTCTGGTAACACACAAATGAAACCCCTTTGCTTGTCTTCAAGGAACTCACCACAGCTGACAGCATGATCAGGATAACAGACAGTGGCATGTGATGAGTGAGGACCCAGCATGTCACATGAGCTCAGCTGGGAGCCCCCAGTCCAGTGGGGAGAAGAGGGGCATGACCTCTTCTGGAAAGAGAGCTGCCGCATGACCTGGACATGTATCCTACTGCAGCAGGAGTCAGCCGCACTGACCAAGGGCCCGGACGACAGCAGAGGCAGGAGCACAGCCACAGTACAGGAAAGCCAGAGGAGGGGGAGGCAGACAAGCACTCAGCATTCTTCCACGGAACCTGGATTATTTTTCCTGGAGAGCCAGCTTTTTAAGAAGAAAGACAAGGGCTGGTACAATAGGCTAATCCTCTGATTGCAAGCACCCATCCTGCATGGGTCACAATTCATGCTCTGACTGCTCCACTTCCCATGCAGCTCCCTGCTTATGGGCTGGGAAAGCAGCAGAGAATGGTCCAAGGCCTTGAGACCCTGCACCTGAATGGAAGACCAGGAGGACACTCTTGGCTCCTGGTTTCAGATCATCTCAGCTCTAGCCATTGTGGCCATTTTGGGAGTGAACCAGCGGATGGAAAACCTCTCTATCTGTGTGTCCCTCTGTAAATCTTCCTTCAAACAAAAGAAAGTCTTTTTTTAAAAAGTAAAAGAACAAAGAGAGAAGCAGACAGGCTTGTGTTTTGAAAAGATGGTTGAGCAGCCTCATGCAGAGGGGAAAGAGGCCCGGGCAGAGGTGCCCAGGAGAGGGCACCAAGAGGGCTAGGTCAGCAGGGGCACCCCGCAGTTTAGCGGGGAGGGAGCAAGGAGGCAAACTGGGGAGGCCACTCCAGCTCATCAAGAAAGGCAGGGGACAGTCTCCTGGCAGTCTGTCTCAGCCAACAGGGAAGATGATGGTACAGGCAAGAGAGGATGGGCAGGCTTGAGAAAGAGGGAGAGTGAGATGGGCTCGACTTGTCCTGCCAAGGCTTCTGGGAACTTCCGGGAGGACAACACAATCCTGGGGCTTGGGAGAGGGGTCCAGACAGAAAAAGGAACCTTCATCCACCAGCAGGTGATGGCTGGAGCCTGTGCAGAGGTTAGAACTTGGAAGGGGATCTTCCATCCACAGGTTCACTCCTCAAACAGCCACGACGCTGGGCTGGTATACCGGATGTGCCAGTAGATGTGACACATCTGAAAGAGGTAACAGAAGATCCAGGTGTAACTGACTTTGTCACCAGAGAGCGTCCAGAGTAAGAGACAAATCCTGCAAAACATTCAACTAAGAAAAAAGCCTGAAAACCCCCGTGGTGGTGGCCAGCCCCGGCAGTCCTCACGAGCCTGCGCGTAGTGACAACGCACATTTCCTCTTGATGTGTCAGAGAGGTGTCTTGGGCTGTCTCCCACACACCCACAGACAGCCTGTTTGTCCACACACACATACACACACACACACACACGCTCAGCTTCCTTTGGCCCACAGCGCTGGAGGACAGGCATTCCTGAAGCTCCCACCCCAGCTTCCCACCAAGTGCCCCTCTGGTCCGCACTGCCCTCCTGCCAAACCAAAGCCGTGGGGCCTTGTGGTACCCACACAGCACAGGGCTCTGTGTCCTTGGGTTCGTGGAGCTGAAGCCCCTGTGTTCTGAGAAGTGGGTGGGGTGCCTTCTTTACCACCTGTTTGCCTCCCAGAGCTCACAGGTGACTCACAAAAAATGCCTTCTCTCTGTTCCTGCTCTGTGGCTGTCTGCCCTAAGACTCAACGCCAGAGCCTGAGGCCGAGCTGGGGCAGCCACGGAGGCTCCCTACCTCCACTGCTCATATTCCCATCCCCGCCATGTCCCAGCCTCCGTCCCCACAGCCTCAGAAAAACCCTGTGTACAAGAACTGGCCACTAACAGCGCAAGTTCTTGTGCAGCTGAAGGCAGAGTTGAACAAAGCCGGGGTTACACTCGCGTTTTCTTGATTAGAACTCTGTAAACTGGAGCAGTTATAAGACCAGGGGGCAGGTGAGGGGGTCTTTTAGCAACAAAGCTGATCTGCAGTCGACCAGAGTGTGCCCAAACAATCTCAAAGATTCCCACACTGGACCTTGGAGAAGAGGTATTCCAGGCAGTCAGCTCCACAGCCATGTTCATCCCACGGGGGTTGGAATGACTAGAGACAGGTCATGCTGGCCTCTGGCATCCAGGAGGGCCCAGGAGTCTACCAGTTCACCTGAAACTCCACGCCCAGACCTCTGGGGACAGTCTGGCTACAGCACTGAGAGCAGTTCCTGCAGAGTGGCTGATAAGGAGGTCATGGAGTGAGGCAAGAATGGGAGGAGAGCGGAGATAACAAACACACACAGCGAGTTTCGTCAAGGGGTGGAGACGGGAAAGCAAGATGCGAAGGCGGTGACAGTGGATGGCATGGCGGCCTTGCTCCTTACAGAGCACCTGCGACTCCACTCACAGACTGCTGGGCCACAGTCTGTTCCTCTGAAGGGATTCCAGCATCAAATGTCCTGGGGGAAAAAGCATGATTCTCCATTAATGACGCAGGCTTCCCCACACTGGAGGACAGGATGTGGGCAGGGGCACGGGACTGGGGGCACAGCAGGCGATTGTTTTAACCCTATGGCCGCTGCCCTGAGTCCGTAGCACTTAAGGCAAACAAGTGCTGAGGGGTGTGTGTGTGTGTGTGTGTGTTCTTTTACTTCTTTGGAAGTCTGTGTTACCAGTAGGTTGAGCCAGAGAGATCTTCTATCCACTGGTTCACTCCTCAAATGGCCACAGATGGCTGAGGCTGGGCCAGGTGGGAGCCAGGACCTCTATCCGAGTTTCCCACTTGGGTGCAGGGGCCCCACATGGGTGCTGCTTTACCAGGTGTGTTAGCAGGGGCTGGATGGACCCGGAGCAGCCAAGACCCTAACCAGTACTCAGGTCCAGCTGGGGGCTGGTGTCGCAGGAGGCTGCTTACCTTGCAGAGCCCCAACACCGGCCGCGAGCTGTTCTCCCATACCTTCACTCACGGTGAGAACAAAGCCAGAGAGCCTCGCTTATCCTGCAGTTTGAGATCAGGGCTTGGTTGGAATTTGCTTTCACACTAAACTGTTCAAGGGTCACCCACACACACACTTCTGGGGTGGAATGGGCACCGGGAGATATGAGCATGCCCTGGGGGAGGGGGGCTGGAGCTACCATCTGCGCTGCCCAAAGGGGACAAAGGGGACGAGGACCCTGGCCAGGGCCATGAGGGACAGGGATTGGAGCCCAGTCTCATGACAGGATTATCTGGCGAGATCTCCGGGTCTTCAAACACCAGGAACTAGTTCCACTAAAACAAACACACAGTGCACACAGTTCAAGCAAAAACACCCTGAGAGTAACCAACCCTCTCTCGGGTGCAAAGTCATGCTGACAGCTTCACTTCCTCTAAAGTGTTCCGCTTACATTTGAAAAGGAAAAAAAAAAAATCTCCAAGAGGAAACAAGAAGAGGTCCTGGGCTGCCCACACAGCCCCCTGCCCACAGAGACTGGCCTGTGTGCTTCAGACACCTCTCCAGAGGGTCACTTAACTCTGATACCTGACATTGCACAGGCTGCCCCACCACACGTCTGAGGACAGCAAGGTCACCCTGGCCACAGCTGCCAATAGCAAAACGGCAAGCCTGTCTTCGCTAACCAGTGAATCGGGCCAGACTGTGGTGACGTGGGGGCGGTCCCTTTAAAACTGGAGCGCGCTATCAGGCCAGCTCCTCCTCCAGGGAGGTTCCTTATTAACTGGGAGCAGCTGGCTGGGCCGAGTCTTAAGCCACTGCAGCAGAGCTAGCCCAGGAAAGCGGTCCCTGCCGTGGAGCGGATTCCTCCCATCAGCATGGCTCAGGCATTCGTGGACAGTAAAATCCAGCCTGGGAAGGTGGTGGTCTTCATCAAGCCCACCTGCCCCTTCTGCAAGAGAGCCCAAGAGATCCTCAGCCAACTGCCCTTCAAGCAAGGGTTCCTGGAATTCGTGGATATCACAACCGCCAACGACATGGATGGGATTCAAGATTATTTTCAGCGGCTTACAGGGGCCAGGACGGTGAGTGTGGCTCTGTGCTCAGAGCTCCCACCCACCACCAGATGGCTTTTTCCTCCCCCACAGCATTTCTCCCCGAGGCAGCCTGGGCTTTTTCCTTTGAGGGGCCCAGAGGGCTTTGCGGGGGTGGGGGGAGGAGGCTCTGGTCTCTGGAAGAACAGGCTGGCAATCTGGGAGGTCCAGCCTGCATGCCATGCCACAGCTGGCCTTCAGTGCCCAAGTTGCTCTCGGGAAGCTTTGTCTTCAGTGCCGTGGGTGAGTGGGTGGATGCAGGGCTCACAGCTTTCAGCTGGTCCCCCAGGCGGGACTGGCAGGTGTGTGGAGGGACTGGGGGTGAGAACACCTCTGCCTTTTTGTCACCCCACATGGAAATCCAAGGCACTGCCTGCCCTGGCCGCGTAACACAGGTCATTTGCCGCCCTTCCCTCTCCGGGAGTTTCATCAGAACCGTTTGCTGCTTCCTCCCACATCTAGGCCCCCTAATTATACCTGCCCCTTGCTCTGAGTTCATTTTGGGCATTGCCCAACCAGCTGGTGTGGGGAGACCAGCGCCTGCCCTGGCTCTCCCAGGAACTTGCAGTAAGGTTCTAGGCAGACTCTTCAAGAAATCCGACTGCAGGACACCCAGGAAGAGATGACCTCCAAGTCCCCATTGCTATGAACAGACTGGGACCCCCTTCCCCTCCACCACCCCGCCTAAGAACCACTTTCCTCCCCCCGCCCTTCCTCCACGTCAGCCAAATCACCTGCGTGGGTTCCAGGGCTGACTGGGGGAGGGGAAAGGGATGGCCACGAGCTCACCTGGGTTCCCTTTCCAGCTGAACATTCTAGAACCATGTACTCCTGTTTTAGTTCTACCTGGACATGGAGGGTGTTCCGTAGGATCTAAGCAGAAGCCTTTAGAAGACTTTTCTCCCCTTTCCTCATAGCTCTATAGGAGGGGGGCTATAGTGGCAGGTTGCCGCGAACTCCAGTCTTGGGCAGGGGCACCTGCAGCCTGGCTGCTCGAGACACAGCTGGGGATCGTGCCCCCCAGTAGCTCCCCAACTCTGCTGCCTGTGAGATGCTCCTGGGGCAGTTTCATACCCCAGGCCAATGAAGTCCCCATGGAGGCTGGAGGTGGGAGCCAGGTGCCAGAGGTTGGAGAGACCCGCAGGTGCTTCCCATGGATGATGGAGTCGGGGAATCTTGTGCCGTTGAGCACATTTCCTTTCGTTTCTTGGTAGAACCACACCACTTCTTCTAGCAGTCTTGATTTGCTGGAAAGTTTTATCACAGGCTGGTGTGTGCCTGTGAAGTTGTCTGCCTCTAGGTCCCTAACAGGGAAATGTTACCATGGTAAAGGGCCTCTCGGAGGCCTGTGGGCAGCAGCCGTGGGTCTTCGGGCCGTAGGGCAGGTGGTGCTTGGAGGGCCCTGGCTGCCTTTGGCCAGGCCCAGCCCAGGGTGCCCTGTCTGCGAGTCTATCGCTTGAGTCTATTCCTCTCTGAAGCTCTTCCTTTTTTTGCTCAAGTTTCAGAGTGGCATCAATAGCCTTCTTGTCACTGAACTTGTCTACTTCTCTGAACACTCTCTGGCAGGCAGGGAGACTGGCCACAACTGTTGTCAGCCTGTTTTTCTCTCCTTCCTTCATGTGGGCAGACTTAGGGACACAGCAGATACTGTTAAGCACCTGTGGGTTAGCTGGATATCGGAAAGACAGCTGTGAAAGCAAACTCTAGCCGTTTTCAAACCCAAATGCTAGTGAGGGAGATGAAACAATAGAAAAAATCTGGCTGCTGGGAGATGCGATGGGGGAAAATGAAGAGATAGAAATCAGGTGCAGTTGTAAATGGAGCGGACATCAAGGCCTTACTAGGAACACATGAGTGAATTGACAGAAACATGGAGATGTGGATGTTAAATGAATGTTCCAGGCCGTGGGGACAGCATGACCAAGGCTTGTGGTGGAAGTATACCTGGCAGGGCTGTGGGAGAGAGAGGAGGCCAGGGGAGAGGAAGAGCGAACAGAGGCTGGGAGGGAGATAAGCAAGGCCTGGCAAACTCACACAAAGGCTGTGGCTTCAACAGAAAGACGGGAGAGGCCACGGTGCGTCTGTGCAGGAGTGACGCAAGCTGCCGGGAAGAGTCGGCCTGCGGGAGGGCAGGGGCGAGAGTAAAGTCAGGAGGCATCTGTGGGCTATGGTGCTGGTTCCGGCAGGAAGTGACGTAGCCCATGCTGGGGACCCAGGAAGTGAGGGAGAAACATTGCAAACTGCTCCACCTCGGGAACCTGGGTGCGGGAGACGCCGCCTGGCTGAGTTGGTGGCAAACTGGCACTTGGGCGGTGTTAGCAAACATGGTCGACAGTGACAGTCCCATGACAGACTGTTGACGGGCTTGCAAGTTCCCCCAAGAAGAGGGCTGGGCCAGGCAACCGACCACCCATGGGGCGCCCTCCTCTGACCGACCACCCATGGAGCGCCCTCCTCTGCCCGCAGCTGCATCTCCATGCTTCAGGTTTCCTGTTTCATACCCACAGGCCCCAGGCCATGGTACCTCCAGCCTGCCTGGTACCTTCGCTGGGGAACGTGCTTCACATGTGGCTTTTAAGGGGGTCTGCTGATGCCCAGGCTTGGGGGCGGAGGGTGTGTGAGGGCGCAGGTGGCTTGGGGGACTTTGGTTTCCTGAAAACGATGGCCAACGTGCAGGACATGATTCAGGGTTCTCCCTCTTCCTTGCCCTGTCCTTCTTGCTGTGGCTACAGAGTTGCTGTGCGGCTGTCGCTTCCTTGGACAAATCTGCTGGCGTCGAGGCTGCAGATTGAGAGAACAGGCAATGATTTCTGACATGACCAGGAATATGACCAGTCACTCCCCACTCCCTACAAACAGATAAGATACTCCAGGTTCTCCCTTAGTCTCAGGCACAGGAAATGGCCATGAGCATATGGGGGAACCCCCTTCTTCATACGACATGTATGTCTCTAAAAAAATTCCAGCTCCTTCCTCTTCCTCCCTTCCTCCCCCCTCCCATCTTCAATCATCTACCAGGGGTTGAAGGAAATGGCACATCTCAGAGGGACTATCCCGGCCACCCCTCTGGGCTCATTGCCAGTTTTTCGGGCAGGCCCTGCCTTGGGACACCTGGTGATAGCTAGGGCATATGCTTCCTCATTGCCAGGCAGCCCTCACATGCCACCTGCAGGCTGGGAGTTGGGTGCCATGAGGGGACTGCCACCTCCCCCAGGATTCCACAATCCTCAAGCATCCTCAGTGGGTGGAGGCCAAAACTGTGTCAGAGAAGGCACGTGAGTGACTGGAGTGCAGCCCAGCCAGCAGGTGCAATGGCTGTGTCACTCTTCTCTGTGACCCGAAACAGATACAGCAGCTCTGGGATAAGGAGGTTTATTTTTATTTGCAACACTCAGATTGTGTGTGTGTGTGTTTTCACAGATATATTTGAAAGAGTGATAGAGAAAGATTTTGACTTATTGGTTCATTCCTCCATGTGGCTACGATGGCTGGGACAGGGTCAGGCACTAGAATTCCACCTTCCGCTGCTTTCCCAGGAGCATCATCAACAGGGAACTACATCAGAGGTGGAGCAGCCAGGATTCGAACCAGCCCTCCTATGGGATGTCTCCCTCGTAGGTGGTAGCCCAACCTGCTGCACCAATGCTGGTACCACAATGAAGCCCTGGAGCAGCTTCTGGGCGAGGAGGCACACAGCTCCCACTGGTCTCTGCCCGACTAAGGACAGAGCCCAGCTGTGTTCTAACAGCCCTGAGTGATGACTGCATTTAATAAAGCCTGGACCTGAGAAATCAGAATGATGCTTTAAACCTAGCTCCCTTCTGCTTGCTGTGGCCCCACTCAGTCTCGATGGTGGCAGTGGCACTGGGACTGGATGAGGTGGCCAGGCTGCAGCTAGTCTATACTCTTTGTGTGACATTTTCCATCCCTCTGACAACTGGGGTGGCTGCCCACAGGCACAGCCCAGCCCATCTGAAAAAAAAAAAAGTGTCATAAGTGGATCCCAAAGGAGCACGTAGCAGGCAGTGGCTGAGTGAGTTAGAGAGCTCTGGCTCCTGGGCAGGGGAAGTGCTCTTCCTCCCAGTGTGGTCCACACCTGTCTTCAATGGCCTGGCTGTCGGTCGTTGCAGGTACCTCGAGTCTTCATTGGCAAAGATTGCATCGGTGGCTGCAGCGACCTGGAGGCCCTTCAGGAGAAAGGGGAGCTGGTGACACGGCTGAAGCAGATTGGCGCCCTGCGGCAGTGATGGGTGAGTGGCCACTGAGAGCCCCAGGAGGCAGTGGGCTCTGGCTACCAGGCTTCACAGCCTAGGAGGGCACCCTGACCAGAAGTGGTTGTGGGAACTGTGATGGCAGCCATTTCTCAAGTCCACATTTCACAGCAGGATCAATTGTGTCCATTGGGGAAGTCCTCTCACTCAGCCTTCGCTTTAAAACTTTTTAAAAAGTTTGACTTGCATATTTGAAAGAGCCACAGAGAAGAGAGAGCGAGCATGGGAGCATGCTTCTATGTTCAGGTCTACTCCCCAGAAGGCTGCAGTGGCCCACGCAGGGCCAGGCCAGGGGCAGGAGCCAGGAGCTTCATCTGGGTCTCCCATATGGTGGCAAGAGCATCAACCTGTGGGCCATCTTCCACGGCATCTGCCTGGTCATTAGCGGGGAGCTGGATTGGAAGTGAAGCAACGAGGACATAAACCAGTGCCCCTATGGGATGCTGGAAGTGCAGGCAGTGACTTAACCCACTGCACTACTGTACCAACCTCACTTAACTACTGACTTGTGTGCCAAACAGTGGGACTATCCCGGGGAATGTAGTGATGTGCCAGGAGGTAATGTGGAATGTGTCTTCTGGAGAAGTGGGTAGACCTAAAACAGGCGGATGGTAGTTCTTACAAACAGTGTGATGTGATAGGGCCTGCCAGGAGGAGGGGACGGGGCAGCTAGAGGGTGGAGGCAGGGCTACCATGAAGCCCTGTCTCCCAAAATGAAACAGTTAAATAAGACAACAAGACCAGTCTTAGGGGCACAATGCTAGATCGCCTTTCCAAGGCTGAGTTAGCCTCTGGCATCTGGCCAAGTGCTAAAGCTCTCAGCTCAATTGGGGCTTCCTCTCCCCAACCCCATCACCACATGCCTCCCATCTCGTCATAGTCTGAGCTCAGCCTAAAAGAGGAGACTACCCATTTTTCCAGCTGCCAAAGACGGCATTCTTTGCTTCTTTCCTGGCAGGGTCATCCCCACCCTGCCATGCCCCCTAGAGAGCTGGACAGCTTGGCAAGCGATGGCAGCACTTCCTGGGGGACAGAAGTTTGCACAGAAATTCTCCTCTGGCCTCTGAATCATCCAGCCGAGTGGCTCACCCCAGCAGGCTGAAGGAAAGCATGTGGCTTCCCTCTGTGTGGGATCCCGTGGTGCCGGAGGACCACGGCACGTTCTGGTTTCAGCTCTGCTCACTCATCCAAAAGCCGTCCTTTCTTGTACGCATTTTGTCCTATTCTCTGTGGGCTGCAGGGCCCCGATTTGGGAGTCAGTATCTGTCACCATGATTGTCCAACACCATCCCCATCCCTTCTCACCCTCCCAAAACTCATCTGGCCTCCCTGATGTTTCATAAGAGGCAGCTGCGATCCGGCTGGGCCTGACTTCCCAGAGTTCAGATGAGGGAATGGGTGGGTGTTCAGAATGTATCTCTTCAATTGCGTCCACATGTCTCTCCACGCGCCCGGTCTCCCAGCTGTGTCCATGGCCGTCCCTTGCTGGCTCGCAGAGCCTGTATGTCGTCCAGCCACTCTCCAAGTGTCCGACTTGAAGACCACGTCAGTGTCCACTCCATGTCAAGGGCACAAGTGTAGACGCTGCGGTTGCATGGCAGCTCAGTCCAAGAAGACGGGTGTGAACAAGATTCCTGGCTAAAGTACAGCAAATGTCGAGTTCTGTTCCCCCAAGAGTGCCCGAATGGAGCCAGATAAACTGCTGAGTGATTCTGTTTTTTTGATTCCACACTAAAAATGGTGATGCCTGTCTGTTCTGGGTGGTAAGATTGAGTTCACTTCTATCTGTAGACTCCAGTAAGAATGATTCACTTTTCTAATAAAGTGGCCGAAATGACTCAGAGGGTTTCATGTGTTTCTTTTCCGTGTTCTCAAGACCGGAAGAGGAGGGATGGTATCCTTGTGCAATACCATGTCTGGGAGCTGGACCCCTGTGGGTCTCTGACGTGACAAATGAGACGCAGGTGCTGTCACCCTCAGAGCACCAACAGCTTTAGGGTCTGTCGGCCTTTGTGTCCTGTTCCTTCTCATGTTGGATTTCAGCTGCTTTCCCCTGGGGGCCTCTCCCTTCAGGCAAGACTGCACAACACTGGGAATGCCACCCCCGAGGTTACATGTGTCTGTGCCCTTGCTTCCTCATGAACCGCCCCTTCTCCATTGTACTTCCAAGCTTCTCATCATTCAAGGCTGTACTTACAATTCCTTCTCACCCTGTCCCCTTCTACTCTCACTGCTTAAAACGGAGCTCTCCTAACCACTCGATTCTTCCTAAACGCCTGTTCCCCTCAGGGGCTGGGCCAAGCCAGAGAGCACACACAGAACCTGGGTGTCCTAAGTGGGCCCAAGTGCTTGATCCATCACCTGCTGCCTCCCAGGATATACACATCAGCAAGAAGCTGAGATGAGCAGCAGAACCTGGACCTGAACGCAGACACTGCGATTGGGGTTGCAGGTCTGCCGAGCAGCATCTTAACCGTTGGCCCCAGGTGCAGGGTCTATCAGGCCCTTTGGCACTTCCTCATTTGTACTGGTCGCTTGCCAGAATTGGGGGGTGGGGGGGTGTGAGGGTGATACCTGAAGGCTAGGGCTTGACGCTCTTATCAACCCATTTACTAGCTGGAGGTTTGGTTCTGTAAATACACACCCACGCGGCTTTAAAAAGCCAACATCCTACCTGAGGTACAGTAGACTAAGCCTCCACCTGCAGCACTGGCATTCCACAAGGGAGCTGGTTTGTATTCCGGGTGCTCCACTCGCAGCCCAGCTCCCTGCTTCTGGCCTGGAAAAGTAAAGAGGATGGAACCAGCAGATGGAAGATTAACCTCCAGGCCCTAGTCCAGGGTCACACATTCGCCTGCTTCATGGATGTCTGTGCCTATTTCAGCACACTGTGAAATGCAGGGGACACGCAGAGCGGCGTGTAGGATGTGTGGTTCTCCTTAACACCCAGGCACCTACATCTGAGGTTGGTAAGCAGTGCCTCTACAGCGACTGTGTCAGAGGCACCCCCAAGCCTTGTGCTCCACTAGCATCTAGCCCGCAAGTACCCCTAGCTCACCTGGGCTGTAATGTCTCGCCCTCCGGTTCTGCTAGCTGTGACTTCCCAAGGTGACACTTTTTTTTTGTCTTGGAAAGTAACAGCTGTGAGAGCGGGAGCTGTCATCACCATGCAGTGGACACTCCAGGAGGAAAGAAGCTCAACTCGGTCCTGGGGCGTGGACTGCCGTCTCCAGGGAGCCCACCGGGGACCTTCTGGGGTAGCCAGTGTATGAGGCTTGTGATCATCTGGGCAGACTGTTGGTGGAGCTGAGTACCCTGTGACCAACAGGAGGGTGAAAGGCAGACACAGAGGTCTCTATTCACTGGTTCGCTTTAAACGGCTGGGTCAGTCCAAAGCTATGAGCCTGGATCTTCATCCGAGTCTCACGTGGGCCATTATTTGCTGTTTTCCTAGGCACATTAACAGGGAACTGGCCTGGAAGTGGAGTTGCTGGGCCTGGAGCCAGCACTTCCAGGGGTTGCCTACCTCGCAGATGGTAGCTTAGCATGGTGCTTTGCAAAGCTATCATCTTTTTTTTTTTTTTTTTTGGTTTCTAAGAGTAGAGTCTACCTTTTGCTTGGAGGAGTAGGTGAGGACACCCCATTTCTGCGGGAGTGTGATGCACCTGCCATTCCTCACCTGGCCAGATGTGGAACGTGGAAGCTAGCACAGTCATCAGCGTGAGGCCAGGCAAGGATCTGCACATCGCCCATATGGCCACTCTGTCCTCAAGCTATAAAATACGGGCCCCTGTTACAGCCTCACTGCTCCGTGGCCCTGGGTCTGGCCAGAACCCTGTGTCTGGACTCCATCCCTGTTCCTAACTATGCTGGGATCACCCGTGTCACAGGACCCCGGGTGTGAGTTAGGACACAGGTGAAGCTGCTGTCGCAAAGACAAAGTGTGACGGAAGCCGCTTTTTTTCAGGGTAGTGTAGAGACGGGCAAGTGATGTTTCCTCCATTAGGTCTCCGCAGATTCAACGATTGTATCCACCACTTCTGCTCACATCCTATTGGCCAGCACCAGGGCTCACTGTGCCCCCTAGCTTTGGGGAGGCCAAATGCAAGGTGACCTGGCTGAGAAAACTCTTGCCCAACACAAGATTTACACCAGAAGAGCCAAGCAGAGTGGGTGATTGCGTTCACGGTTAACATGCCGAGTTTAGACTCCTGCATCCCATTTTGGAGAGCTTGAGTGTGACACTCAGTCTACTTGGGCCTCCAGCTTTTTGTCAGTGCTCACCCCAAAAGAGGCAAGCTGTGCTGGCTCAAGTAATTGGGCTCCTGCCACCCATTATTAGAGACCAAAGTGGAGTAGGTGTGCGATGTGGAAGTTAAGCCACGGGACGCCCACATCCCACAGCAGGTGGCGTGCCTGGTTTGTGATCCGGCTACTTGTGCTCCTGATCCAGCTCTCTGTTAATGTGACGTCCCACGTGACTGATGCCCCACTCCTCACGTGGGAGCCCTGCATCAAGTTCTCCCCTCCTGACTTCAGCCCCTGCCAGAGGCTGCTGCAAACACTGGGGAGCCAACCAGCCCATGCGGGTGTGCTCGCACGCTCTTTGCCTCTATTCTTTCTTCCCCAGCCCTGCTCCCTTGTCTGTTTTTTTGCCTATCAGCAATAACAGAAGGACTGCTCGGCTTCTACTAGACATTGTATAAATATCTGTTGAATGAATGAATGAAAGGGCTTGGTGATCGGGGTGGATCTGGCTGTTTAGCTGGGATTGCCAACTGTTAGCTTCTGAGTGTCTTCTCAGTGGGGCCATTGGGCTTCTTCTCCAAGGTCACAGTGGGGGAGGTGGGGTGAGCCGTGCCGGGGAAACGGACCTGTTGTCCTCCTGGTCAGAGTGGACTCTATGTTCCACAGAGCACAGTGGGCCCAGCACAAGGGCCGGGCACAGGAAAGCAGCAAGAATGACCAGATGGAAAAATTCCCAGCCTTGGGGTAAGTGTGGGGCTTACTGGTCAACACGCCCAAGTCCCGCACAGAGCACTGGGTTTGACGCCCACCTCTCGCTACTGCCTCCAGCTTCCTGCCAGAAGCTGACCTCAGCTGACAGCAGTACTGGTTCAAGTCACAGGATTCCAGCCACCCACAGGGGAGACCTGGACTGCATTCCTGGCCCCTGATCTCAGCTTGAGCCCATTTCAGTCACCGCAGGCACTTGGGGAGCAAATCCCTGAGTGGAGCCCCCTCCCCACCGCACCCAACTCTGTCTGTCTCTCAAAGGGGGAAAAAAATCCCACCAAAGCACAGTCTGCTTGCTTCAAGAAGGAAGTGACTGGGTGTTCTGCAGATGGCTTGCGGCAATGGCTGCTTTCTGCTTCCAGCCTCTTCAAGGGCTCCTCCTGATAGCCACGCCAATGGGATGGAGGCTGCCTGAAGGTGAACCTTCCAGGGCAATTACAGCCCCAGTGAGAACCCTTTATGTCTCTAGTGAACATAAGCACCCACAGCTCCAAGCCAGGATCCTTAATTTGCCATACCCTAGTTATCGTCTTCAGTCCTCAGGAAGCAGTCCTGGCTTAGAGCATTGGGCTGCTTGGATGTTTCCCTTAGGCTTCCTTTCTTACATTAATAGCAGTCTTGCCTTTTCAAAGGGCAGGTCCCTTTAAGTACAAGGGCTGTTTAAGCAAGGGGTTATATTTGTGCACAGGTTTCTGTTCCCTGTCCCCAGGCGACTTTGCAGTGAGCTGGGCAGAGGTGACGGAGGGAGGAGAGAAGGGAGGGGGTGGGGCAGTAGACCCATAGGTACAGAAGCTGGTACAGGGCATGGCCCTTTTGCCCACCTGGATCCCCTCCCAGGCCACTGAACTGTGACTCAGCAAAGAGCGAAGCAACTGTCCTCTTAGCTTTGCTCCATGTGCCACGGGGATCAGTACATTCATACAAAATGACAAAGTGCAGGTAAGGTGGGGATTTTACCTATTGGCAGCTGGGCCGGGATGATATTTAACACATTCTACTCCAGGCTCTCACCACCGGTATCAGACGGGCTCTTTTGGACCAGTGCCCCCTGGGCAGGCAGAATTAAGGGACTCCCCTGGAACCTGTGGGCATGGACTGTCTCCCCACATTTGGAATGCGGCCCCCAGTGAGTATTAAGAGTGGATATATGGGGTTGGTGTTGTAGCACAGCACATTAAGCCACCATTGGAGACAGTTGCATCCCATCTTGACATGCCAGTTCCAGTTCTGGCTGTTCCACTTGCCACCCTGCTCCCCAACTAGTGCACCTGGGAAAGAAGTGGAAGATAATGGCCCAAGAGTTGGGTGCTTGCCACTTACATGGGGGGCCCGGATGGAGTTCCTGGTCCCTGCCTTCAACATAGACCAACACTGGTTACTGTGGCCATTTGGGGAGTGAACCAGTGGATGGAAGATATTCTCTCTCTCTCTCCAATAATAAATCTTGAAACAAAAAAGCAATTTCTTTGAGGCTGACCCTGGCCTGCCCTTCCCTTATAGCTTCAGAGGAGTGGTTACTCCATAAGGAATTTGAACAACTTCCTGGAAAAAAGTGAACTTGAAAAACAAACATTCTGTGTGAGGAGAAAAAAAAATTGCAAAATGTGTTTATTTGGCTGCAAAAAAGTTTGAAATCCATATGGGTTTTTTTCCTATTCATTTTTTTAATAATACTTCTAATGCTCCATTTCCATGAACTTGTTGAAGCCCCTTGTCATGACCAGAGAGTGCCAGAGAGTGGGAATCTGGTAGGGGTGAGGAGTGGAGAAAAGGGGCTCCCCCTCCCCAGGCTGCTCATGAACCTTCCAAGCAGGCCAGCTAC